CCTATCGGAACCACGCCAAAAAAATCCGTGTCTCCAATTGCGTTTGAATCCTCCAAACCCTTCCCTTTACTTTCTCGCAAGTTGCATGCTTTAATTTTTGCTGCCTATATACTCTTCGCATGCTTGCTTGAATTGTCTGATGATTGCTTGACTTGTCCAAAGATAGCTAAAATCTGCCAAACTCTAAAATTGGGAAAAGGTTAAGTTTTTAATTGGTCAATTAGTCTAATCACCCCCCCCCCTCTAGACATACCTCAAGGTCCTACACCGGCCACACCACCAGTTGGCCGATGTGACCGTTCTGGGACAAATGTAGTGAACTGTCTCGCGACCGCGTTGCTGTCAGAGCCGTTAAGGGACGTCCAACCCTCAACTAACTTCCCGAGCAAGCCGGTCATTCCGAATGCAAACTGCCCAATTAGATGCTCAACAGGTGCCCTCGCCTGTGAACGAAACAAAGAAGCATCAATAACCAACCATATTACAGTCACTTGCATGAGATCAAAAAATAACGGAATCCAAGGCAGCCATATGTATATATCTTTGATTACCTCAGTAGGGCAAGACGGAGCTGAGTGCACGTCCATCCACTTTCCAAAATTTTGAGGCCCCCCAAACACGTTGTAGTCTATAGCATGCTTGGCCATCAGCTGGAAATAACCAAAAAAATAGCTAGGATGTGTGAGAGAGAATGATTAACACTGACTAACAGTTCATGTATTGCAAAAACAAAAAAAAAGATGAGAATATAAGTTTCAGTACGGATGACAGAGTTGCCATGTGGAGTGAGACATGTAAGCCATGCGCAGACCGCCATGGCTAACAAAGGTAGTCATCTCTTGTTAACCACAAAATAGTTGCCACATGACAATTTTTTCATATGTTATGCCGCAAAAAAATGTAAGAATGCCATGTAGAGAAAGAAACAAGAACTAACCTGCAGTTTTCCATATTTGGTATCAGTTACCCTGTCTGCTGCAAGCACAACCTTGACAGCGTCGTACGTCCATGTAGAAACAGCAAACTTGTGCGTAGGCGGCGGGCCTCCTGCCCCAGTGAAATCCACAGTGGACAGATCTAGACAGTCGACGTACATGAGCTGATGTAAAACAATTTTAAAAAGAAAGAAATATCAGTTGCCATCATGGTATTTTGCAAAAAAAGCAGGCTAATGTATGGTCATACAATCAGCAAGTTGAGGTGCATGAAAAAGAGAAAACAAGAAATTGCCATCTATCTGTGCTAGTTGCCATATGTATATGCTAGTTGCCATCATAGTATGATGGCAGTTGCCATATTGTCATGATGGCAGTTGCCATCATAGTATGATGGCAGTTGCCATATTGTCATGATGGCACTTGCCATATATTCATGATGTCAGTTGCCATATATTCATGAAGGCAGTTGCCATATTGTCATGATGGCAGTTGCCATGCATGAATAAAGGTGATAAAAGAGTGTTGACAGAAAGGACTGGTAAAAAAATACCATTAAGGGGGTGTTTGGTTCAGGGACTTTTTAGTCCCAAAGACTAGAAAAAGTCCCTGGGAACCAAACGGGAGGGACTTTTTCTATGGGGACTAGAAAAAGACTCTACTGGAGAGTCTTTTTTGATTAGTCCCTGGGACTAGAAAAAGTCCTAGGACTTCTGAACCAAACACCCCCTAAATGAAGTCGACAACCCTTCTGGTACATCTTGCTTGAGAATACATCATGCAAGAAGTCGGCAATAAACTTGCACCAATTCATGTTCTTCACATCTTTCAATTTCGCCTGCACCGCACAATTTTTAAGACAACGAGTTGCCGCATTAGAAATCAAATGCAGAAAACATCAAAAAACTGTCCAGTGACTAGCTTGCACATGACAACGGAGCCAAAAGATTGAAGGAAAATAATGGAGTAAAGATAGATCATTCACCCGGATGGGGAAGCATTTGTTGCTTGGGCGAAGAGAAGTGGTCGGCGCAAAAACAGCTGAGATGAGGTACATGAGTAGTTTCATCTTAAAAACCTCGCCATGGGTTGTCATGGCCTGCAGCGAATCTGCCAGGAAAATCGTGTTCGGCATGGATTCCAACCCAGGAAACAAACAGGGGAACATCATTTCCTCGATCTTATTATTGACCTCATACGGGACTTTGATCTCTCCACGTGGCACACCCAGAGTGCAGAACACGGATTCCTCATCCAACGGTAGTCTTCCACGTCCCGGAATCGCAAATTCCCTCGAGGCAGGGTCGTAGATCTCACCAAGCCAGTCGCATATAGGGTTGACTAGATTCGTGCAACGGACATCCATCAAAGCCTGCATACCCATCCCAGCAGCAGCTCCCTTCTGATCGTCGGTAAATCTGTCAGTCAATGAAGTCAATCATTCCTGAGAGGCCCTGTTGCGAGTACGTTTCTTCTTCTGCAAAAACGGATAAATGATCATTTGTTGCCATGTTTTCACTGTCATGGAGTTGTAGTTCATAACAGATGACTGCAAGATCGAGGTGGCAACCAATAACATGTGCAGGAGGAGGAGGGTGTGTGGACAGTTACCTCGTCGCCGTCTTTTCTCCGTCCAGTTGCCCAATTATGCTGTGGTGGATCCATGAAATCATCATTCTCATTTTGATGATCACCGGGAGCCATTCTGCTGAGGTAAGAACAGACCAAATTGTCAGGGTGGAAATGAAAATGTAGGAAGTAAGCAGTTGCCACATAACATAATGTACTTGCCGCATGGGCTCAATTGAAAATGGCAACTAGTGAATGCAAATATCACATGAACACACACGCACCCCCCCTATGATTGTCGAAAACATAAATGTGGCAATTAAGCACGTTGGTTTCATTTGAAAAAATGAAACAGATCGTAATGCACTTAAAAACAAAAATGTTGAAGTTGCCACGTTAGCACAATATATTACGAAAGAAAGCCACAAATCTCCCACTGCACAAACATAAGATGTGGCAGCTCACACCTTGTCCTCATACAAAAATGACTTGCCATGTCTTGAATGCCAAAAATGTGATAGCTTGAAATTGCCATCTTAAAAATGGAACAAAGAATTCAAAAAAGCGATGAAGAACATGTACTGAACAAACTGAAATTACAACGCACAAACTGACCTCATATCAAAAATGAGTTGTCATATCATAGTACTGACAAAAAAATGTTCAGATATCAAAGGTCAGCATGGCAAAAACACGAAACTGGGTCCGCCGTACAATGAAATTGCCACATTATACTGCCTATAACATGGCAACAGACATGCTGTGTTCAGACAAAAAACTTGTCACATGGAAAAGCATATATATGGCATCTGACACAGTTGATGTGCAAATTAGTTGCCATCCAGTACACATAGTTACTATACTTTGCCAAGCCACATTGTCCTGTCATGCCACGAATCAGCGTGGCAAAGCACAAAAATTTGGGTATGTAGTACAGCGAATTTGCCACATTGTCCTGAATACAACATGGCAATAGCCACAGTGTGTTCACATAAATAGTTGATACATGGAAAATATATATGTGGCAACTGACACAGTTGATGTGGAGATTAGTTGCCATCAAGTGCAAATGGTTGCTGAAAATGCAATGACTATCTATTTACTACACTTTGTCGTGCATACAGTGTGGCAACTATCACAGTCAATCAGAAAAAAAAGTTGCCACATGTAAAAGCATGTTTGTGGCAACTATCACACTCAATCAGAAAAATTAGTTGCCACATGGAAAAGCATGTTTGTGGCAACTATCACAGTCAATCATGAAATTAGTTGTCACATGGAAAAGCATGTTTGTGGCAACTATCACAGTCAATCAGTAAATTAGTTGCCACATGGAAAAGCATATTTGTGGCAACTATCACATTCAACCAGTAAATTAGTTGCCATACAGTCATGACAAATACTCAAACTACCATGTTTGCCTTCATACTGCACTTTGAAAAACAACTACCTAGATCTAGGGTTCAATGACAACTATCATGACTTGAAATTCATCGCCAAAATTTCCCCCGAACTGATCGCCAATAGCAATTCGAAGCAATGCGTAACTACCAGACAGAAAAACGACAGCCCGATCCCAAGGCACAACCAGTATGTGGCTCCGGACAGGCCGAAACACACCGGCGTGAGCGCCACCGCAGCGGCAACTAAACTGCCCAGTGCGACGAAAAACGGCAACCGCAGGACTCCGCCGTCGGCAGGAACGCCGGCGCATCGCGAACCCGCCTGAATCTCTATGAATCTCGAGCGAAGCATCGAACACGAAGAGTTGGGGAGAAAATGCAGGCACGGGATGTTGAGAGTTGGAGGGAGCATTACCTTCAATCTGTAGGCGGTCCGGCGAAACCGCTCCGGTCCGGCGAGCACCACCGACGGCCGCGAATGCCGTCGACTCTTCCGCCTCCGCCGTCGCCTTCTCCCCTCGTCTTCTCCTCCAATCGACTGAAATGCGAACTGGGTTGAGCGAGTAACTGTAGGGAGGGGTAAATGGAACCGTGAGGTGGAGGGGGGCGAAGTGGGCGACGTGTTTGACGTCAACCACGGTCGGCGCGTGGCGTGCGGACGCAGAGCAGTTCCACCGCACGCCCCCGGGTGACAATCGCTGACCGCGGAGGGGCAACCGGCGTGTGGGCGACCTATGTCACACATCACACACGCGCCTTATCCTACGTGGCACAGAAAATCGTTCAGATCGTGCTAAGATTCGTGCATATACTGCTGGACGGCGATGGATGCGTGTGGTTGAGGTGGCCAACGCCCACACGTGTGGGCGTTAACATTTCCGAAAAAAAATGGGTGGGGCATTCTACGCGGCGCTGATATACCGCGGGAGCTCGTGTCGCAGTCGCAGGCTCGCCTCAGGATGAACGGAGTATAAGTGGGTGTGTGTCCGTGATGAGTTGCATACAATATTCATAGCAGGTTAATAATAGTTGATATTCGTATATACACGCCCAAACAAATAAAAAGAAATAGTACAAATGATGTCATGATCAGCTAGCGCGAGTGTTCGACGTCACTCTCGGGACGGCAAACAATGCCCGCATGCCCGAGCAACGCCCAAAGCACGGTGATGAACTCACCACCACGGCGGAGCGACTTGGCATGCGCCGTCACGTTCTCCGATGGCGCAAGGAAGACGATGAGCTCCGCCCAGAACTCGGCCAGGATTCTCCAGACCGCCTCCTCGTCGCCGACCTCCTCGGCCAGTTGCCGGGCGAGCTTCGAAGCCTTCCTCAGCGTCTCGTTCATACTCCCGCCGAGGCACGTCGCCGCTCGCTCGTACCGCACCAACGGCCCGGCGCAGCGCGCGAGGACCCTCGCCACCTCCTCCGCGACGCCCTCGTAGAGCTCCTCCGTCCACGCCGGGTGGTCCGGCAGGAGCTGTGGCTTCAGCGCCACGAGGTAGGCGCAGTACCGTGACAGGTGCGTGGCCACGACCACCGTGTCGTCGCAGCCTCCGCCATCCTCGACGTCGTTGTCGCTGCCATGAGCCGCTGCCTCCGAGCGCTTGATCTCGAGCAAACTCGTGGCGACATGCCACACGAGGATCTGCTCGGAGATGCTTCTCTCGCCACTGCCGCCGTCACCGACGCGGCAAGCCCAGGTAAACTTATCGACGACGCCGCTCCGTTGCAACGACAGCACGCCGTTCCCGAGTGCTCCGTGGTTTGTCCTCAGCGTCGTCACGATGGCTGCCTTGACCGACGGCGGCACGGGGACTGACGTCTTGGAGATCCGGTCGACCTGCCGGGAAACGCATCCGCAGTAGCACACCCGGGTCTGCAGGACGGACGTCTGACCGAACCGGTCGTCCCAGCGCTGGACGGCCGTGAACCGGAGGACGCGGCCGAGCTTGCCGCGCGTCCACCGCGACCTGCGCCAGGACGGGCGGCGCGCGTACTCGCAGATGGTGGCCACCTTGATCCAGTCGGAGCGGACGTAGTTGGCGATCTCCCACCCTTCGGTGAAGACGATGGCGACGATGAAGGATACGGTGACGAGCACGTCGAGGCCGACGATGGCGTGAAACACGGTGTCGTGGCGTTGCAGGTAGTCCCGGAGCACGCCGTAGTCCACGGCGAGCGCCGTGCCTTGGTTGGTCATGTCGTGCACGATGGCGCCGCCGGCCGCGAGGCAGCTGACCCACGTGGCGAGGACGAGGATGGAGTTGAGCACCGGGAACCACCACCCGCTCGCGTAGAAGGAGGTGAGCTTGGAGTAGAGTAAGTCGGCGAGGAAGGCCAGCTCGGTCTCGATCACCCCGAATGCTCTCTCCGGGCTCCCGGCGAGGAGGCCATCGTGGACGAATGCGAGAGCTCGGCGAGAGCCCACCTCCGCGAGGGGGCACCCGAGGAACCTCCGGAGCTGCAGCTTGAACAGGGAGAAGGACAGGCAGAGATCCTTGGTGTGCGGATAAGCCGCGAGGAGCGAGTCTCCGGCGGAATAAAGCCGCCATATCCGGTCCATGGTGACCACGTGCCCGGCATCGGCGGACAACGACGGCGCCTGAGACGTCCTGCCAATTTGGTACCCATGCGGCCTGGCCTCGATGTGCAGCTTCTCCTCGCCCATCACCAGGTAAGGCGGCACGCCGTCTTGCGTGCTGTCTTCTCCTGGATGATCTTGCTCTCGGCAATGGAGTTGCTTCATGTAGTCGGAGATGAGGTAAGCGTTGAGGCCGACGGCGAACGAGTTCTTGGCGAGCTCCGCGGCGACGAGCCGGTGGATGAGCTTGACGAGGCTGAGCACCCACAGCCAAAGGAGCACGCCGGTGAGCTGCGGGCTCCCGGCCTCTCCGCCGCTGCTGATGATGAGGAACGCCACCCAGCCCATCCGCGCCAGCTGCTCGACGGAGGGGCGGAACTTGCTGCCGCCGGAGGCGTTGCTGTCGATGGTGAGGGAGGAGCACCGGGCGGTGTCGATGGTGTTGCGCAGGATCTGGAGGAAGACGGTCCAGGCGAGGAGGAGGGGCACGCGCGCGGCGTCCCACTTGGCGGCCGCGGAGACCGCGTAGGAGACGAGCGGGAGGAAGAGCGTGGACGCGGCCCACACGAAGAGGCGGAGGGCGGGGTGGCCGGCGCGGCGGCGGTAGGAGCTGAGCACGACGAGGAGGGACAGGAGGATGATGCTCACGATGGCCGCCACCTCCATGAGGAGAAGGTTCAGCAGGCTGGTTCCCATGGCGCTCGATCGATGTTCGAACTTCGTATGATAATCAGCATGTACACGAAGTATTGGCCTGCTTTCATGCATGCGCATGCAGGGGTGGCGGTGGCGCGGTGTCCCTGGGTTTTGCTTGTCAGAAGAAGTCTGGACTACAAGTCAAGTAAAAGACAGAGATCAATTCTTTGCTTTAGGTGCGCAATGAAAGATCCAATGACTGCTGGAAAGTCACCCCGTCACATGTAGTCTCACCAGGTTGCACCGCCGCTCCTTTTTCTTGCATGCTGGCACAGCTCACACTTGACACGTTCACACACATGTATATGTGAATGTAGATAATATTTCTCTACCCTTCAAAAGAAAATTTCTTTTGTGAGGGAAAAGCTAGACCAGACGGCACCCATGCGCTCGAACTTTGTTTAGTGCATGACACGTACATACAAGGATAGCAAGCCCCAGTTTGTTTCAGTTTTGATTGGATTCAAATCACCTCTCGATTTGCTTCAATGATAAAGATGATTCATAGATATTTTCAAGAGGAATATACTAAAGATCCCACTATTTCTCCGGGGACGGTGCTTGAGTTAACTGAAACAAGGGTGACAGAGAATATGAACATGGCCTTATGTAGGTCGTTTTAAGAAAAAAGAAGCTTCAGATGCTTTGTTTCAAATGGGACCGCTTAAAGCTCCACCTGCTAGGTTCTACGAGAGGAACTGGTTAATTCTTAAAAAAGAAATCACTGTTGTTGTTTTGAAGTTTTTTTTATATTGGTCTTATGCCTGATGGTAGCGAACGATACTACTATTGTGTTTATTCCTAAGGTGCAATATCCAAAGAATTGAAATCTTTTAGGCCCATTAGCTTGTGTATCGTGATCTATAAGATTGTGTCGAAGTGTTTGGTGAATCGTCTCAAGCCTTATATCAGTGAGCTTATTTCAGAGAACAAGAATGTGTTTATCTTTAGGAGGCTAATATCTGATAAATCTATAATTACCTTCGAGTGTATACATCATATCCAATCCTTGAAGAGGGGCTTTCCTTTGCGTGCTTACAAGCTAGACCTTTCGAAGGCCTATGATCGCGTGGATTGGGATTGGGACTTTCTGGAAGGTTCTTTACTTAAATGGGGGTTCTCGACAAGATGGATTTTTTTGGTTATGGCTTGTGTTAGATCGGCGAAATATTCAGTGAAATTAAATGGAAAACTACTTGGACCTTTCGAGCCAGCGAGAGGCCTATGTCAAGGTAACCCTTTGTCCCCATAATTTTTTTTATTTGCTGCTGATGTGTTATGTGCCTTGGTGCATAAGTCTATGGCGGACGATGGTTAGAAGGGGTGAAAAATTGTCGGGGAGCGCCGACAATCTCACACTTATTGTTTGCGGATGATTCCTTATTCTTTGAAGCCTCGCAACAACAGGTAGGGTTGGCGAAAGGTTTGTTGAGCACTTATTCTTTGGCAACGAGGCAACTTCTAAACCCTCAAAGTGTTCCATCCCTTTTTTTCGATAACGGTGTCGATGTTGTGGCGGATGATGTTAAAGGAATTCTGGATATTTCTCAATAAGTACTTGACCCCAAGTATTTGGGAATGCCAGTGCCTGATGGGAGAACGAACAATGATATGTTTGAGACCCTGCATGCAAGCCTAGGTAAAAGGTTAGTTGACTGAAGTGAACAATATATATCTTCTGGCAACAAGGACATTCTAATCAACACACCCAAGTAATACCCACATATGTTATGAGTGTGTTTCGTTTGCCTGCTTCGGTGTGTGATGATCTAACATGGATGATGTGGCAATATTGGTGCAGTTTAGAAAAAGAAAAAAGAAAGATGGCTTGGTTGAGCCGGAATAAAATGGTGCTTCTCAAGGCAAAGGGGGGGGCATTGGTTTCCGTGACATGCGAGCTTTTAACTAGGCTCTTCTTGCTAAGCGGGCTTGGAGACCCACTGATACACCAGATAGCCTTTGTGCACGTCTTTTACATGCAAAATATTATCGGAAAGGGAATCTATTGGATAAAGTTTCTACTGGCAACTCCTCCATGGTTTGGAAAGGAGTGCAGTATGGGCTTGAACTGTTGAACAAAGGGGTTATTTAGAGAGTTGGGAATGATACTTCGATTAAAACATGGCGCAATCCATGGATTCCAAAAGGCCCATCTTTCTGACCTGTCACCCCAAAAGGTAATTGCAGACTTAACCAATGTCAGTTTTTGTGGATGTCCATGGTGCTTGGAACTCACAACTTTTGTCAGAGTTCTTCTAGGAGATGGATGTTGCTGAGATTTTGAAAATACCTACCCCCCTAGCTAGTGCCGGGATTTCATAGCGTGGTAGCCAAAGCAGAAGGGGCAGTTATATGTTCGGAGCACTTATCATCTGGTTATGGCTGATCATGACGGGGCTTTTCGCAATGGTGCATCAAACTCGAACCCTGATGGAAATAGGACACTCTGGAACTTGATTTGGCAGGTAAGTGTTCCATAGAAGATGAAGATAATCACGTGGAAGGCATATACTAGGGCATTATAGACGGCTAACGGAAAATCAGATCATCACTTATAGACTAGTTCGCTTTGCCCCATTTGCGAGGTAGACGAGGAATCACCCTTCCACGCCTTGGTCACATGCAATCACGGCATTTTACTTTGGGATGGCATGGGAGAGTATTTTCCACTCTCGGCCAGTGACAAGTTGATGGACACGGGAGTTGACTGGTTGCTATACATCCTCGATGGCTGTCCAGACTCAATGAAGCATTGTCGTCATGCTAATTTGGCGGATATGGCAACTAAGGAATGATGTTGTTCATGGGAAGTAGACCCCCCCTCCACTCGGTTAGTACCTCGGTTGATTCTTATAGAGGTACTGGCAATCTATCGACAACGCACACAAGTTCTCAGTAGAGGAGATCATAAAAGGGAAGATGCTGCTCGAAGTGGATTCAATGTAACCAAAGTTGAAGAATACCTCACCACCCATGGCTTGGACAACAACCCAGTTGGACAGGTGCATGGTGTTGTCCGTAGATGTTGCTTTCTCTGAGGTGGATGGCATAGCGTCAGCAGGCATGATTCCTGTGGCCACGACAGGCCAGTCGTGTTCGTAGCATATATATATTTATGTTCATTTGTAGTGATGCTTTCGAGGCGAAAATTCACGCGATAGTGCAAGGTATGGCACTTGCTATACAACTAAACCAGCGCATTACTCATGTTGGGCTGGGTTTCGGGCCTGGCTTGCAAAAGCCTGGCAGCCAAAGTCTAGGCCCGAGCCTGGCCCGACCCTGATAACCCACAAGTATAGGAGATCGCAACAGTTTTCGAGGGTAGAGTATTCAACCCAAATTTATAGATTCAACACAAGGGGAACAAAGAATATTTGAAGGTATTAGCAACTGAGTTGTCAATTCAACCACACATGGAGATTAATTATCTGCAGCAAAGTGATTAGTAGCACAGTAGTATGATAGTTTTAATGATAGCAGCAGTAGTAACAGTAACAGTAACAATGATAGCAGTGATATTGTAGCAGTAACGACAGCAGTAGAAACAGTAGTAACTCAGCGAGAACAATATAAGATAAATTCGTAGGCATTGGATCGGTGATTCGTTGGATGATATTCATCATGAGACAGTTATAACCTAGGGCGATACGGCACTAGCTCCAGTTCATAAATATAATGCAAGCATGTATTCCGTAAATAGTCATACGTGCTTATGGAAAGAACTTGCATGACATCTTTTGTCCTACCCTCCCGTCGCAACGGGGTCCTATTGGAAACTAAGGGATATTAAGGCCTCCTTTTAATAGAGAACAGAAACAAAGCATTGACACACGGTGAATACATGAACGCCTCAAACTACGGCCATCCCCGGGAGAGGTCCCGACTATTGTCACTCCGCGGTTGCCGGATCATAACACATAGCAGGTGACTATAACTTGCAAGATCGGATCTAGAACATGGATATAATGGTGATAACATAAACATTTCAGATCTGAAATCATGGCACCCGGGTCCAAAGTGACAAGCATTAAGCATGGCAAAGTCATAGCAACATCGATCTCAGAACATAGTGGATACTAGGGATCAAGCCCTAACAAAACTAACTCGATTACATGATGAATCTCATCCAACTCCTCACCGACCAACGAGCCTACGAAGGAATTACTCACTCCCGGTGGGGAGCATCATGGAATTGGCAATGGAGATGTGTTGGTGATGACGAAGATCAAAGATCCCCCTCTCCGGAGGCCCAAACGGACTCCAGATCTGCCCCCCCCCCCTCGAGGAAGAACAGGGCTTAGCGGCAGCTCCGTCTCGTGAAACACGATTATTCTTTCTCCCTGATTTTTTTCTGGAAATGTGGGATTTTATAGCATCGGTTTGCGGGTCAGCGGGGCCACCAGGTGGGCAACACCCACCTGGGCGCGCCTGGGGAGGGGGGGGGGCTAGCGCGCCCTGGTGGGTTGTGCCCACCCAGGTGCCCCCCTCAGGTCCTTCTTGGTTCCAGAAATTCTCTTTTATTGCATAAAAAATCCTCGCAAAGTTTCGTTCATTCCGAGAACTTTTATTTCTGCATAAAAAACAACACCATGGCAGTTCTGCTGAAAACAGCGTCAGTCCGGGGTTAGTTTCATTCAAATCATGCAAATTAGAGTCCAAAACAAGAGGAAAAGTGTTAGGAAAAGTAGATACGTTGGAGACGTATCAACTCCCCCAAGCTTAAACCTTTGCTTGTCCTCAAGCAATTCAGTTGATAAACTGAAAGTGAAAATGAAAAACTTTTACGAACTCTTTTGCTCTTGTTTCATAAATAAGCTTAAACAACACCTAGGTTTTCAGCAGCGATTATAACTAACCATGTCAACAGTAACTCTTAAAAATTATATTAACTCATATCAATGACATAAACAACTAGAGAGCAACAAAAAAATATCTCAACTAGCAACACATTGTCAAAACAACCATGATATAATATGACAATAGTGGTATCTCGCTAGCCC